GCCACAAGCTGTTTCTCCTCCTGGCCTTGTACTGGTATCAAGCGCTTTCCACAGTACTTTTAGCTTTCCAAAAGAATAAGAGACATTATACATGTGGGAATAAAAAAAGATATAAAGGAGTATATAGCCAAAACTATTTAGCCTCTGGAGCTTGATCCTTAACAGTGAAGAGAGACCCTTTGGTCAAAAGAGAACTTAGTAGTGTTGAGTGACAGAGTAGAGCTCTGACTCTTGCCATGAAAGTGTACGGGTGTGTGAGTTACTTCAGAAAGGAAGCATTGCTTGTGATTTTAAGTGACTAATACAATAACTGATAGTTATTGAGCGTCCATTACACGTAGGACATTTGTATGAGTTCCCTGTGGCTAATGTAATAAATTATCACAAACTATGTGACTTAAAATGATAGAACATTATCTCCTCACAATTCTGGAAGCCGAGAGTTCAAAGTCAAGGTGTCGGTGGGGCTGTTCCTGAGTCTTTCCCTGCCCCTTCTGTCCTCTGGTGGCTTCAGCGGAAATGTGCAAAAAGTAAGTGGCAGAGCTGGAATTTGAGCCTATGCAGTCTCATTTCAAAGCTTGTATTTTTAATCTCCATGCCTTACTGCCTCATATCAGAAGGATTTGGTGATTTGTTGAATGCGAGAGTGGAGGAAGGGGGAAAAGAAATGTTCCAGATTAGGGGAATGTTTCCTAGATGAAAGATGGAACCCCTTACCAAGGCGGGGACACGGGAAAACTCACAGTTTGGAAAGAAGGATGGGATTTGATTGTGAACATGTTGATAAGGAATACATGAGTAAAATGTCTGTTAGGTGACTGAGTGTTTAAATATAGAGCTTCAGAAAAAGTGAGTCTAAAGAAGTAGACTTGGAGAAATCTGTATCTAGGCAGCAGAAGGGAATGTGGGCAGAAGAGAGGGGTAACACTGAGCTCTTCTAGAGAAGAAAGTGAGCAGAAAAGATAACAAAGAATCTCTGAGATCTGCAGCTCTTAATATACTAGTGAAAGAGCCCTCCAGCGAGAAAAAGGGCTATCTGAAGGATGATAGGAGAGGATACAGTGGGTCACAGAAACTAAGGAAGGAGGAGGAAGTCTGATGAGGGATGGGTGGTAGCAATACCCAGGACAGGAAAGAAATTGTATAATGTGAGAGCCAAAATGTTATCACTGCATCGGACAATTGAGTCAATGTAAAACCAACTGGTGAGAATGTAGGATATCACAGCCATACTGGAAGATAGTGCGGCAGTTTCTCAGAAAGTTAAACATTGTTTTGTAATACGATCTAGCAACTGTACTCCTTGGTGTTTACCCAAATGAGATGAAAACATATCCATACAAATACTTAGGCACAGATATTTATAGGAGCTTTATGAATAGGTGTTAAAACTTAGAAGCAACCAAAATGCCCTTTAGTAGAATAATAGAAAAGCAAACTATGGTATATCCGCCTAATGAGATATTATTAACTACTAAAAAGTGAGCTATCAAACCATAAGACTGTCACCTTAAATATATATTGCTAAGTGAAGCCAATCTGAAAGGACCACAGTACTATATGACTCCAGCTATATGGCCGTATGGAAAAGGTAAAAATATGAAAACCATAAGTAGATCAGTGTTAGAGAGGCAATGGAGTAGATGAATAGGTGGAGCCATGGGATTTATGACAATGAAATTAGTCTGTATGATACTTTAATGGCAGGCAGATGCATGGAATTGTGCATTTATCAAAATCCGTGGAACTACGCCAAAAAGAAACCTAATGTAAACTTGTAAACTTTAGTTAATAATAATCTATCAATATCAACTCATCAATTATAGCAAATGTACCACATTAATGCAGGTTGTTACTAAGAGGGGGAGGTGGGGATGAGGAAGGGTGAAGGTCTATATGGTAACTCTGTAACATGCTGTTTTTCAGTAAACCTAAATCTGCTGTAGAAAATGGTCTATTAAAATGGAAAGAACAAAAGAAATGACGGGAAGAATGGGGAAAGAGAAATGTATATACCATCTTGAGAGTGTAGCATAAATCCACAATGATAATTTAATTCTGTGTGCTTGTGCTGTAAGTACAGTAGAGTAAAAATATGACTAGTCACTTCTGCTTAACAGTTTCCAGGGTTCCCTATTATAAGTGCACTGCAATCTTTTGGCATGATGTGAACATTTTCTATAGCCTCATCCACCATCATCTCTGGCTATTGTCCACATATTGTAAGCTCCAGCTGCAGTTGCCTCTTGTTTGCTCCTCTTTTCTACTCATCCCATGTTCTTTCAGGCCTCTTTGCCTAGTTGTTATCCGTACCTGTCTTCCCCCACTTGTACCTAACAACATCCTACACATCCTCTAGCACCTTCCTGTGAAAGCTTTGCTGACCTCTTTCTCCTCAGCCACCAAGACAAGAATGGTTTTTTTTTTGCCTACTTGCCAAAGTTATTTATGCCTGTTTCTTCAGTAAAATGCTTAGAATACCACAAAATAAATGAAAACTAGTATTGGCAAAAAATAAATTGAGATAGAAGGAAGTCATACCAAGTTACATTTGAGGAGTGACTAGGGGTTGCGATGAAGCTACATGTGTGGTAGACTACTCTGTAGGGATAGTTTTATTGTTACTTGGTGTGTCTTTAGCATTTTTGGCTTTGCCCAACCAGGTTTCCAAGTGGTAAGAAGAAAATTCTAAGTGACTGTGATGCTGTCCACTGCTTTGGTGCTGACAGACCTGTATTACTAAGGGTTGCCCTGAGAGCAGTAATTTTTCTGGCCTTAAGAGCCATAGTCCTCTTTTTGAGAGAAAAGGAGAGAAAAGACTGACTCCCACCCTTTTGTTATTGTTTTTGTTTTTTGGGGTATTTTTTTTTTTGTCTCTTAGAGGGTTCAGAGCCATTGCCTGTCTTATCTTTGGAATGGCATAAGATTAGTGGACTAAGTGGGAACTTCTTCCTTATGGGATCCACAGGTTCCTGTAAACCAATTAATGATTATAAAAAGATATTTGTTTTGGTTTTTCTATCAATTTAATGGACATTAAAATCCAGAAATGCTTAGGCACCCGTCAGGCAGTGGGGATACAAGATAACAAATGGTTTCATCTTGAGTTCAGTCTAACCAGGAGACCAACTGTGTGTTACATTGTGAAAGGAGTTACTGTAGTAGACTCAAGCCACCACAACATAATACTACAGCCTGGGTGGCCTACACAACAGCAAATAATTTTCTCCCAGTTCTAGAGGTTGGAGGTTCCAAGTGGAAGTCCAGCAGTATTCAGTTTCTGGTGAGGTCTGTCTTCCTGGCCTGCAGACAGCTATTTTGACCATGTTTTTGTTCTCACATAACCTTCTGCATGGTGAATATGGGACAGGGCGAAGGCATATCTGCCAGGCAAGCTCTCTGGTGTCTCTTCACTAATCCTATCAGATCAGGACTCCAAACTTACCTCATTTTAGCTTAAATACCTCCTGTTTTCAAATATGGCCATGCTGGGGGCTGGAAGGTGAATGTTACAGCTTCACATATGGATTTGGAGGGAGACACAGCTTGGTCAATGGCAGGGGCTTATGGAAAACTGTAGGTGACAAGTGTGAATGATCATCTTGTCTAGGGAAAGGCAGGGTCCACCACAGGACTCAGCAGGGGTGACAAGGTCTGCATTTTGAGCCTCTGTGTGGTTATCTGATGGGAGAACCAGCTCCAACTTGGGGGCTTTGGTGGCCCAGCAGTATCCTTTAGTCAATAAGTTATCACCCTATGTGAAAAGAGAACTCTGCATCGTAAGTTTTATCCAATGATATGTCTGTATCAATGACATAAGCTCTGGCAGCAATTGTCAATGTGAATTTTATATCTGTAAGCAGATTTTCATAATAGGGTGTGTCACAGGTTTCCTAAATTGCATCCAGGTGTCACTCAATTTTCACTTCAACAGCCTCCTTCTGCCTCCTGCAAAGATGATTATTTCAAAGAGTCAGTAACTGTTAGGTTCAGAAGAGTTACTGACGTAAAATGGCTCAAGAAATAAGCATACTTGTTGCCTTGCAATGATGGGGTGTATAGAATGAGTCAGTGTCTCTTCCCTGTCATTTCCATTCTTTTGCCTTCCCAGACACCAGGGTCTGCAGTTGCAGTTAGTCCCTATGGGTAGTCTTGTGTAAAGGACCCAGACCTGTGGAAGTATATATTCTTACAAGAAGGAAATGTCCTAGAAACTAAGAAAGATGAACCACTCTTGCTTTATACTTGGTCTGCATTTATCTCTTGGAATCTAGTCTTTTGGGCCCTGGTTATGGCTTATTGATGATGATGAGTTTCTTCAAAGTGGGGACTGAATCATGTTCATCTCTGTTGCAACCTCTTGGCCTGCAGTAATGACCACAGTATTGTAGTAATGATTGCTTTTGGATAAACTAGCATTAGATACTTGAAAAAGCTTGTGCTGTCCTTCTACTGGCATTAGTTTCTCCAGTGAAAGTCAACCTTTCTGCAGTGTACTGGCCAGAGTCCTGACCTGTTCTGTCTTGGTGTTAGCTGAATACAGGCCATAGCATAACCCCAGCTTGTTTCTCATAGGAGCTGTCACCCTCAGAGAACTAGGGGCAAGGCTTTGGGATAGGAAATTGGTCAGAAGATGTCTCCTGACAGAGCAGTTATTTGTTCATCACAGGGACCAACAGAAAATGTAGGGATACTGGCTGAAGTAAAAATGAGTTTCCTTCCTTCTTGTGATGTCTTCAGGTGGGAAGTTCCTGTTGCTTCAACAAGTGGGCTGGAAGGGCATACCTGGGGTGTTCAGAGCTACTGGCAGTATTTGTAACAGCTTCCCCGGGGCTTGGCTCCGTACTTTGTCTCTCCCTGCTCCCCCTGTGGAGACGGTGTAGAGGAGAGTGTACAAGAAAAACTGGATCTACGGTCGCCAAGGGTGGCCACTCAGCCGGCTGCTGCCTCCAGTGCTGCCGCAGTCACGCAGTCATGGTGCCATGAAGTTCCTGCCCAGGCGGCTGGCGTGTCTGCACTTGCTGCTCCCACAAAATGAGCATCTCCCTCACTGTATTTATTGAGGAAGATTTAGTCCAGAATTCACTCTTCCTGCGTCCTCCCCCCTTTACAACATACACCTTCATCTCTTCGTTTCTCTGTCACTGAGCATCATTCAGAAATGCACAGATCTGTGAATTGTTCCCTGATCTCCAATCAGGGGAGTGTTACAGGTCCTCTGCCGGTGGGAGGGAGCAGTCCGACAAAAATCTGAAGACCCAACACTTCTCGGGAGCGGTGAGGAGCAGGCTGGCAAGCCACGAAACATTGGCGCTGAATGGATGTCTTAATAAGCTTTTAGCTGTGATTTGGCTGGCGTCGGCAGAGGAGACTAAGGGGGAAAAGGCTGCAAACATTGTACTGTAAATCACTGCAGACCCACTGGCAGTGACAGTCCTAGGAAGCTAATGATCTCGCCAGGAAAGAATTAACCGCAGTTGTCCAGAAGCAGAACATGATGTAGGACAGGGAGGACAGACCCCTGGATGTGAGTACAATGTCTTCAGCACAGGGTTTGGAGCAGTGGGAGCAAAGCGGGTTGTTATGACGGGGGTGGGGGGTGCTCCCTGACCACCAGCTCCTGGGGTCAGTGGGCTGTCTCTGGGGGGATGGGTTGTGTGTTATGCCTGGCTGGGACTTTTGTTTGAAGGTTTCATCTAAAATACTTTGCCTGTCAGGAGGCTAACTGTAATGGCTTTGGGATATTGGTACCAGGAGACTTTGTTGTAAATTCACGGGAAAATAGCAAAAACAAACCGCATAGACCTTTTGCTATAAAAAGAAAAGCTATCAAAACAGCTGTGCAACCTTGTGGCATTTGGGGTGTGAGATGAAAGGACTGGCAAAATGAAGAATCCAGAAAATGAGGTAGTGGGCTGGGAGGGAAGAGAGTAATCTTTGCTAGGAAGCTAAATCCTTTCTAGACGCAGGGTGCTCATTGCATACTTATGCTCATGTATTTGTTTCCTTTCTGGTTAAAGAATGAGCAGCATGTTTGTATCTAATGTTTTCCTCCAGGAGGCTGTGAGAAATGAGCACTGTGATAAAGAGGGATGTGATTGATAGGGTTGGGGAGGAAGAAATTCCTCGGTGCCAGTAATGGAAAGTGTCTTGAATGATAGCTGTTTGCTTAGAAAAGGTTGCTCAGTTTTGATGAGGGAATAGGTCTGGGGCAGCCGGGTACCCAACAGGTTGGCAGTAAAGTTTAATTCATTGACTACAAACTAGTCACCACCCTTGTATTTCTCTCTCCTCCCCATTCATGACCAGGGGTTCTCCATCCCTTTTTATCCTTTTCTCATTGCCTGTCTCTGCCTGGCCTGATTTGTTGGTTTCTAGATGTCAGACGAGAAGCAGAATGTCCACTCACTCCATATGAGGGTGCAGGCGGGGACAGAACGAAACCAGAGAAGTCTGCTTCTGTGATCCCTTTGTACCCACCCTATGTAGAAAGGCAACTGTGAGTGATGCTAGAGGTCCTAGCAATGATGGTATTCCTGGGCTTAAATTGAGATTGAGCTTGAGACAGCCAAGTACATAAGCATGATGTTGGCAACAGACTAGGAACTGGAAACCTGGGATCCTGTTGCTGATCCTGCAGGCAGTTTTTTTTTTTTTTTCCAACTCTGCTGAGGTAGTGGGAATCCAAAATCCTGTGTGATCAACCTGTCCAGGAAGCTGTTTTATGGGTATATTTATTGCAGTCATGAGGTGGAGGAGGTAAAGAGTATTCTTTAATAGCTCTAGCTGAAAAGCAAAAAATAAAATAACATGTAGTTAGCCAATATTTTTCTCACTGCTGTAGTGTTTTTCTGTTTTGTTTTATTAAAGGAATATTGGCAGGAGTGGCAAGGGGCTATTTATCATCACAGTAATTATCTAAATAAGTCTATCAGCCTGCAGCTATGGCCATATGACAACTCGGACTTTAGATACAGTATCTGAGAGGCTAAATTTGTTGGATGACCCAGGAGGATGAGCAGAGAGTGGCTATCATTTTACCAGAAGCTGGCTGGGCCTTGCATCTGTTGCTGAGGAGGCTTTGTGCTGTTGGTCTGGAGCTCATGACCTCAGCTGGTTCTGCCCTGAAGTTGCCGCAAAGATCTTTACCCTAGGAGCTAAGCTGGAGAGTAGAATGAGTAGAATTTTAGCCAAAACAATATTTATTTGAATTGGGCCTTATACTTAAAGGACCATTGTGAAAAGGGTTTGGAAATGGGAGGAAGTGGGTGGGTGTATAAACCTAGTGCACCTCTCCTCCAGGACTGTGGCCAAGTATACAGAGATAAATGGGTAGATGAAGGGGAATAGTGTGGTTGTGTGACGGAGATCATTTAGGAAATCATGGCTAAAACTGTATTTTCCTCCATTTGGGTTTAGAGTGATTTTGCAGTATTTGGGCAAACAGAGCAGAAACTCAGTATAGTGGTTTGGTTGTACCACAGATTATCTGAATAAAAAGAGACAGTGTGCCTTATGTTAATAAAAACAAACCACTTCCAAATAGTCTGGGGAATATAAAGCCCCAAATATAGTTATTCAGCATGGCCTGGGCACTTAGAAAAGCATTTCGAGCTGTGTTTCTCTTAGTGTTTTGAGTCTCAACTTCTTTCATTGGCTCATTCATTCAGGAGATATTTCTAGCATATCCGGGGATCTCAGACTGCAGCTAACTGAGGTATCCTCTGCTTCACGTGGTCACTCTCTCCAGATTTACTGTGCTTCTCATGAGCCTGGCAAGCAGGAACAGGTATCCTCTCCTTGCTGTCCTTTACCTACATTATGGGTGAAAGATTAAAAAAAAGAAAATGATAATATACAAGTGAGAGGGATATGAGTCACATTTGTAAAGTTATTGTTGACATTGGATCAACAATGTTCTTAATGAAATACCATTTTTAATTCCCACCACAGTCCTGGGAGAGAGACGTTCCATGTCTGTTCTGTACATGGGCATCTAATCCCATTCTCCCAGAGTGCTTGGCCAGATGAACTGCCTGAGTGCCACAGTGATTGAGAGTTAGAGCTCAATATGGTCCAGACATTTCTAAGCCATATTGTGGCCAATGTCTTAGTCTTTAGAGATTGAAAGGATCATTGAGTTTGCCTGAAAACAACTTTACAAGATGCTTACATCTTCCAGGGCTTCAAAATTAGAATGAGTGATGGGGTCCAGGATGAAGGACCATATTCTTTTGCTTCAGCATTTTTCCCATATGTATATACTGGTATTTTAGTAAGTACATTTTGAAATACATATATGGTTGTAATCCAAGCTTCTCAGGAGGCTGAGGCAGAAGGAGCACAAGTTTATGGCTAACCTGGACAAAGTAGTAAGACCCTGTCTCAAAATAAAAAGGCTGTAGGTGTAGCTCAGTGGTAGTACTTGTAGAGCATGCATGAGGCCCTGGGTTCAAATACCTCAAAAAAATAAAATAATATTAAAAATACAAAGAAGTCCTCACTTCCTTGTGCTCCTAGCAGGAGTAGATTAGACATGTAAGCATTTCTTCTGTCCAAAGAACCCTTTGCCTTTGAAACATTACCATTGCCTTTGGATTGTGGTGGGGCTACTGACAGAAGCCAATCTTTAAAATCCTATCAATTTTGGTCATTTGTTTTGGAAAAAAGGATTAAATTTACTACTAGTTACTACTTGTAAACCGGTGCTCAGAGTCAGGGCTTTGTGTCCTACAGGTGGTTCTAGTGGGCTGTTCATTTTCTTCCCATTATGCAGGGAAGCAGTGCGAACTGCCCCTCCTGAACTGGCAGAGTTACATGTTTAGAATCAGTGTTCTTCCAAAGGGGATTATCTGAACAGTTTGGAAGTGGAAGTTAGCCCAGGGCCATGCCCAGTTCTCCATCTGTTCCAGAACTCAGGAAAATGAACTATTTACAGCAAGGAAAGGATGAAGGAAGAAGAGATCTGCAAAAATGCTGGGGGAAAACTCCCAAGGGTTGACTGGCGGTATGGCTTGCCTAGCTTTATTAGGCCCCAAGTTTGATGTTCAGTACAATAAGCAGAACAGACCACACCGATAAGACAGCCGCATCTGTCAGGGTCTCTGTGAGGTGTGATCCACCAGCATCCAGCCTGCTTGGGGAATCAGCACATGAGCTATGGTAACCTATAAAACCTTGTCTGAAGGCTGTGGTATACATGCACGGCAGTTTCCAGAGAGCGGGGGTGGTATGTGAACCAGGTAATGTCTGGGGTGTTGTATCAAGTGTCTTCTACCCAGGACATCCAGTAAATGCAGAGCCAACTTTGCAGTCCTGGCCATAACAACTCTGGAGAGTGTCCCTGAGGAGGGAGGAACAGAGAGAGGTTGGCAGCCTCTGCTGCCTTCCACCCAGAAGCTCCATCCAGGGACCTCGCTGTGGAGAGCGTGCTCCCACATGTCCTGTCTCCTCCAGCTTCCTCCCCTGCACTGTGCGTCTGGCCGAATACCCGAAAATCAGAGACAAGGTATGGTCTGTCCTTTGTGGTGAGTAGCACTGATGATAGCTTTGTTTTGTAACCCTTAGGTGTCAAAGATGGCATAGGAATAAATCGCCTTCCAATGACTGAGAGCATCTTTATCTGTGGGTGCCAGCCCAAGCCAGTGGCTTTGTGTTGAGCTGAAGGAACTTGTCCACGGCTTTCCCGAAAACCTCTTTCTCTCAATTCATGAGCCAGCAGGATGCGGTCGCTGCACTTTCGGAACGCCTTCTCATAGCTGCTTACAAAGGCCAAGCGGAGAATGTGGTTCAGCTCATCAACAAGGGCGCCAAGGTAGCGGTTACCAAGGTAACAGGAGGAAAATTGCTGTAGCCATTGCCTGGGAGTAGCCTGTCTCTGAACCATTGTCTGCAAAACTGTTGTGCTTGGTTTTCCGCTTTCAGAGACTTGGCTTTTGGTCCAGGGATTGAGAGTTTGAGGAGAAAGGAAGAGATTTAAGAATACATTTATTATTGTCTTTCAAATAGCGTAACTTGGAATTTGCATTTGACAGTCTTTAAAAAAAAATGCGGCTTTTTCTCACCTACTTTTTAGACAATTGGACAGATGCTTGGGGGAAGTTGGGACACAAAAGCTTACTGGGTGAGAGCATTTGTGTGATAATTATGTCAGACTTCTTAGAAAGGTGGGTGGCTTATGGTTGAAGCCCCCATTGCAGAGTCTCATTATTTCCATCTGTATAGTGAGGGCCTAGACCAGGTGACTGCTATGACCTCTATGGGCTTTGATTTCACATTAGTCCCTGAAAATGCATGGTGAGCCCTGTGGGGCACTGTTTGTCTCACTGATGATCCCATGGCAGATAAACAAACATGTACATGTAGGCAGTTTGGTAGCAAAGCCAAGAAACAACATGTCCTGAAAAAACATTGATGAAGGGATGCTGATGCACTTCTCTGGTTTGTAGAACTGCTCAGAACACCTAAGAGTCCTCTGGAGGAAGTTTTCTCACCCCCATTTTGAGGATGACAAAACTGAGGCACACAGAGATTTGAGTTAACTTGCCAGACAGATGGGTAATTTCTGTCCTGAGTGTGACTCATGAGCCCATCCTCCAGCCCAGCCCAGTGAGAGATGCTGAGACGGACCCTAATTTTCAAACAATATCATCTGTTAACTTCTGACTTCCCAAACCAACAATTAGCCAGCCCGCATTTCTAGTTACTCACATGCAGTATCTGTTACATGTTAGACTCTAGAGGGAGAATCTTGTCACTGTTTAGGTCTCCCATGGAGCCTATCAATTGTCTGTGCATAGATTGTTGGGAATGATTATAAAGGGCTCCTTAACTTGGGCCTTCTACACAATCACAAACTAGAATATGTGAGCTCTGTAGTTCAGGTGCATGAACCGGGTTCTAACTCTGCTTTGTTTGCTAATTGTGCAAGTTGCTTAACTTGTTAATCCTCCATTTCCTTATCTATAAATTAGGGATAATATCAGCAACTTTTCAGGGTTTTTATGATAACAGTAATTTATTTAAAGCACTTAGCATAAAAGTCTGTAAGCTGTCTTTTAAAAATAGATTTCATTGTTTAGAAGAAAAATAAAAGAGCTTTAGCTAGGTGTGGTGTTCCGTGCCTATAATCCAAGTAGAGACAGGAGGATCACAAGTTCAAGGCCAGCCTGGGCAATTTAGCAAGACCATATCTCAAAATAAAAATTAAAAACTAAAAAAAAAAAAAA